TGTATTGTTGTTCTCTTTACTTCTTTCTGCTGTGTCTTATTCTCTCCTTTGTTTCTTTCTCTTTCTTCCTTCCTGTTGTGCGCTGTTGTTCTCCTTCTTTCTTCACTCATCTTTTCATACTTCCTGTTCTCTTTCTCCTGTTTCTCTTGCTTCCTGTCTGCTGTGCACGCTCTCTCTCTCTCTCTCTCTCTCTTTTTTTGTTTTTCCTTTCTCCTCCTCTCGTCGGGCCCTTGGGGGCCTCCCCCGGCCTGTGCTATAGCGACCTCTTGGCCGCTGCTCGGCGCGGGCCCTCGGGGCCCCTCCCCGCCCCTCGGGCGGCGGCCCCCGGGGCGCCCTCTCCCGACTCGCCGCGCTCCCCCGGCGGTCGGCGTTGCGCCGTGGACCGTGTGCGTCGCCCCCCCCCCCGGGACGAGGAGAAGCCCGTCCCAGAGCCTTCCGGAACGCTCCGAGAAGGCCGCGGCGCCCGACACTCGGGGGCGGAAAAGAGTGGGGTGATGACTAGGGGGGGGTGGATATCATGGCGGGTGTCATGATATTTCCGCAGATTTCATGGCGCCTCTTCTTATTTCATTATGTCCCTGGCCCCCCCGCTGGGCCGCGCACATGCCGCCGGTCATGATTTGCACGCCCCCCTCTTGGACACCCCCCTCTTGGCCGCTCCCGAGACACGCCCTCCGGAACCGCCGAGACTTTGAGATTCTCGATTCTGTCCTCGTCCCAGCTTCGTCTTACAGACCGGCGTCTCTCCAACATACTAATACTGCATGTGCGTCGCCCCCCCCCCCCCCCCAGGGGCGGCGCGCGCACCGAGAAATCTCGTAGTGCATGCGTCGTGGCGGGCGCTCTCTGGCCACGCCGCTCGGGAAACGGTGTGCTACAAGATGGGTATACTATGTATGTCCGGTTCGGACGCGCGCCTCCAAGGAGGACATATAATATTAGTATCGAGTCGGGCCTGTCCCTCTACAGGAGGAATACTCAAACATAGTAAAAACATAGTCTGGGGACGATATTTTGAGCATTTAGTGGTTAGTTCCCCACATGTTTCGTGGGGTTCTGGTTTTCTTCCCTGCCGCGCCGCACCCGCGTCTCACCCGCACACCTCCCCTCCTCTCTCTTCTTTCCTCCCCTTACCCGCGCTCAACCCATGCACGGCCAGTACACACATAACACAATCACGGCACAGCACACACATACAGTGTCACATACACATACACACATACACACATACACACAAGCACACACAGCACACACAGCACACCGCACACACAGCATAGCACAGCACAGCACAGCACAGCACAGCACAGCACAGCACAGCACAGCACAGCACAGCACAGCAGACCGCAGCACAGGCCAGCACAGCACAGCACGCCCCAGTCGTCCAGGCATACCAGGCGTGGCACTTCCTCGACACCACAGGGGGTGCGCTTGGGGTTGTCTCCCTATTTCCGTTGCGGGCTCGCAAAGCGTGGTCAGGCGTGGCACTTCCTCGACACCACAGGGGGTGCGCTTGGGTTGTTCCCTTATCCGTTGAGGAGGCTCGCAAAGCGTGTCAGGCGTGGCACTTCCTCGACACCACAGGGGGTGTGCTGGGGGTGGTCTCCCTATCCGTTGCGGGCTCGCAAACCGTGGCAGGCGTGGCACTTCCTCGACACCACAGGGTGTGTGCTGGGGGTGGTCTCCCTATCCGTTGCGGGCTCGCAAAGCGTGGCAGGCGTGGCACTTCCTCGACACCACAGGGGGTGCGCTGGGGGTGGTCTCTCTATCCGTTGCGGGTTCGCAAAGCGTGGCAGGCGTGGCACTTCCTCGACACCACAGGGGGTGCGCTGGGGGTGGTCTCCCTATCCGTTGCGGGCTCGCAAAGCGTGGCAGGCGTGGCACTTCCTCGGCACCACAGGGGGTGCGCTGGGGGTGGTCTCCCTATCCGTTGCGGCCTCGCACAGCGTGGCAGGCATGGCACTTCCTCGACACCACAGGGGGTGCGCTGGGGGTGGTCTCCCTATCCGTTGCGGGCTCGCACAGCGTGGCAGGCGTGGTACTTCCTCGACACCACAGGGGGTGCGCTGGGGGTGGTATCTTTACGTATACACCGTATGTGCGACGGCCTGTCAAGGCCGTTGCAGGCGTGGCTCTCCCGGCAGGCGTGGCTCTCCTCGACACCACAGGGAGTGCGATGGGGGTGGTCCCTATCCGTGCGGGGGCTCGCAAAGCGTGGCATGGCGTGGGGCGGACGGACACACCAAGTGAGGGTGGGCGGAGGGGGGGTCTCCCTATCGTTTAGTGGGCTCGCAAAAGGTGGCAGGCCGTGGCTACTTTCCTCGGCCACCACAGGGGTGGGTTGCGGCTGGAGTGGTCTCCCTATCCGTTGCGGGCTCGCAAAGCGTGGCAAGCGTGGCACTTCCTCGACACCACAGGGGGTGCGCTAAGGGCGGTCTCCCTATCCGTTGCGGGCTCGCAAAGCGTGGCAGGCGTGGCACTTCCTCGACACCACAGGGGGTGCGCTGGGGGTGGTCTCCCTATCCGTTGCGGCTCGCAAAGCGTGGCAGGCGTGGCACTTCCTCGACACCACAGGGGGTGCGCTGGGGGTGGTCTCCCTGTCCGTTGCGGGCTCGCAAAAGCGTGCACTTCCTCGACACCACAGGGGTGCGCTGGGGTGGTCTCCCTATCCGTTGCGGCTCGCACAGCGTGGCAGGCGTGGCACTTCCTCGACACCACAGGGGGTGCGCTGGGGGTGGTCTTACTATCCGTTGCGGCCTCGCACAGCGTGGCAGGCGTAGCACTTCCTCGACACCACAGGGGGTGCGCTGGGGGTGGTCTCCCTATCCGTTGCGGGCTCTCGCAAAGCGTGGCAGGCGTGGCACTTCCTCGACACCACAGGGGGTGCGCTGGGGGTGGTCTTACTATCCGTTGCGGGCTCGCAAAGCGTGGCAGGCGTGGCACTTCTTCGGCACCACAGGGGGTGCGCTGGGGGTGGTCTCCCTATCCGTTGCGGCCTCGCACAGCGTGGCAGGCGTGGCACTTCCTCGACACCACAGGGGGTGTGCTGGGGGTGGCAACGGCCAGCAACATCATTCTCACATGCTTCACTTCAGCTATCATCACTCCAGCCATAGTATATGTATGTGGGGTTCCTCGGTAGCGTTTTTTTTTTTTTTTTTTTTTTGTTTTTTTTTGTTTTTTGTTTTTTGTTTTTTTTGTTTTTTGTTTTTTGTTTTTTGTTGAGTATTTTCTTATTTGTCGCCCAAAATCCCCCTGCAAGGGTGGGGCGCGTTCCCCTACTCGCAAAGTGCCTACTCGCAAACGCCCGAGCAACACACGTCTGCTTCGATGTAACTTATCGCAGATCCCCCGCGGCGGATCCAGGCGATTGCGAGTAGCTACTCTGCGAGTAGTGGAAGGCGCTCGTCTCAGGAGGAGAAAAAACACACAGACACAATGAGTCCTCGATTCCCCAGAAGATATGGGAAAGCATGGGAAGTGGGGGGGAGACAGAAACCCAGAAGATGCGGGAAAATAGGGGGAATCCTGTTACTTGTGTGTATCTATCTGTGTGTCCCAGGGTCCCTTCCATCGTCCACGACCTAGTGTGAGCGTGTCTCTGTGCGCTCCACGTGGCGCGTGCGCGGCGGGGCCGCGGCGGCGAGAGCGTGACGCCCCCCTTCCCTCCCTGGGGCCTCCCGCGGGGGCGCGCCCCGGGGCCCCTCGAGGCGCCTCCTCGGCCGCGGCGGCGAGGGGCCTCCGGAGGCTCCCTGGGACTGCATCGGGCCGGTCCCTCCACGGGGGGAGTACAGTCGGGGTCCTGAAGAAGGAGCCCTTTTCGTTGGGGAGGGGCTCCGTGTTCCTTGATTGTTTCACGGCTTGCCTTAAGTTTCCCTGAGGTTTTCGATGGGACATCGAGCTTTAACTGATGGGCAAAAGGGGCCTCGTTCCTTAGTTTGGGTTCCTTAGGTCAACTTCCCGACTGTATCGGGAACTGGAGCATGTGCATTACCACTGGCGGGCGGTTTTTCAATCCCAGGGTTTTTTGGAGGTTCGGGGACGGCGTCGGGGCGGTGTGGTGTGTGCTTTTTCCTCCGGTTTCCCAGGGAAACGAAGAAGAATGTATACACCATGATCCCGTATACACCAGGTTCCGCTTCCCTGTGCGAGATTCAGTGTGAGGCCAGACAGAGACGTCGGTGTATAGAGTTCGGTTCCCTAGAATATTCAAACATAGGCAAAAAATAGTCGGGGGACCATTTTTTGAGTATTTGTTGATCATGTTTGGGTGTGTGTGTGTTTTGATTTGTTTCCTAAACATTTTTTTCCTCGAACATCGGCCTGTAGGGGGACGGCCCGACTTAACCCTAGGAGGGCAAGAGGTCATCCGAACGCTTCGGACCTCCCTCCATCCGCCCAGGTCGACTGCACAGGCGGCGCGAAGGTCACCGCGCCTTGCGCATCGCAGCATGCACGGGAGAGAGCTGGAGAGGTTCTTTTCGCCAGTGTCTTGCTGCGATGGCGCGAAGACGACAGCGCGTTGCGCATCGCGGGGCGCGATGCGCGAAACCAGGTGGCCTCCATCTACCTGTCGTTGCGTGATATCCGGCACCGGACCAGACTTCCGGCTCGGTTTTGCATAACATGTTATTCACCATAGAGCGACAGAGAGTTGTCAACGCTAAACGTTTCGAGTACCCCCACGATCCCATCAAGAAACGAGGCCCAGGCGAGTTGCCCTGATGAGGTATGTTGCGGAGCATGCAGTGGAAACAAAAGCTGGGGAGGCTGTCATAACCCCAAGGGGGAGGACGGACGAGGACTCGGAGGAGGAGGAAGAGAAGGGGGGAGGGGACTGGAGGGAGGAAGGGGGGAGGAGGACGAGGCGGACGAGGACGAGGAGTTGCCGATTCGTGTCCGGCATGGGCCGCCTTTTTTTCTGTTGTTCGGTGCGGGGTCGACGTGCCGCCGCGCGTGCCACCGTGCCTCGCGCCGGCCCCTCGGCCGCGGCCGCGCGGCAGATCCACCGCGAGCGCCTCGTGGACTGGCGGCCCCTGGAGCGCTACGTGCGGAGGGGCGCAGGGGGCGGGGGCCAGGGGGAGCGCCCGGCCTCTCCGCCCCCCCCGGGAGGGTCGCGCGCTCCGGCCTCCTCGCTCCGCGATCCTCGATCCCCGATCCCCCTCGATCCTCGATCCTCCTCGATCGTCCTCGGTCCTCCTCGATCCTCGATCCCCGATCCCCCTGGATCCTCGATCCTCCTCGATCCTCGATCGTCCTCGATCCTCCGCCTCCCGAAGCAGACCCAATGCAGGCCTGGGCGGTTTAGCCTTTTTTAACAAGCACGCAATGATGGCTTCGTGGCTTTTCCAAAGGATTCCGATTGTGGGGTTTCCAATCGAATCCCGTGTGGCGCTTTCCAAAGGTTTCCTGCTGTGAGGCTTTCCAATCGAATCCATTTGTGGTGCTGTCCAGAGTATTCCTGCTGTGAGGCTTTCCAATCGAATCCCTGTGTGGCGCTTTCCAGAGGATTCCTGGTGTGAGGCTTTCCAATAGAATCCTTCTGTGGCGCTTTCTCAAATGGATTCCGATTGTGATGCTTTCCAATCGAATCCCTTTGTGGTGCTTTCCAAAGGATTCCGATTGTGATGCTCTCCTATAGAATCCCTTTGTGGTGCTTGCCAAAGGATTCCTGTTGTGAGGCTTTCCAATCGACTCCCTTCGTTGTGCTTTCAAACGGATGCCTGCTCTGAGGCTTTCCAATGCAATCCCCTCGTTGTGCTTTCCTGAGTATTCCTGTTGTGAGGCTTTCCAATCGAATCCCTTTGTGGCGCTTTCCAGAGGATTCCAGTTGTGAGGCTTTCCGATGGAATCCCCTCCGTGTGCTTTCCACAGGATTCTTGCTGTGAGGCTTTACAATCGAATCCCTTTGTTGTGCTTTCCACAGGATTCCTGCTGTGAGGTTTTCCAATCGACTCCCTTTGTGGCGCTTTCCAAAGGATTCCGATTGTGATGTTTTCCAATCGAATCCCTCTGTGGCGCTTTCCACAAAATTCCGATTGTGAGGCTTTCCAATGGAATTTCTTTGTGGCGCTTTCCAAAGGATTCCGAACCAAAAACAAAATTACCTTGGCGACGTACCCAACCCCTGCGCAAACGCGGGGCGCAAATTGTTTAGGACACTTTATAAAAAAGGGGGGCGATGACGGAACGAGGGTTACATATGTCTGCAGACGGAATTCGGGAGACTCGCAGGACACTGGCTACAGGACAAGGACTATATAAAGCTGATTCGTTACAATCCCTGAGCAACCCTAGCCACTTCGAAAGCGGGGATCTCAGATCGCAGCCCCCCAGGGATGGCGAGGTCTAATTTGGGTCCGCGCGTGGCGTCACTGTGCTGCCCCCCCCCCCCCCCCCCCTCGAAAGTGGCGACAGTTTCACAGATCGAATCCCCCCGGGGATGGCGAGGTCAAATTTGGGTCCGCGCGTGGCGTCACTGCGCTGGGCCCCCCAGCAGGCGTCGAAAGTGGCGACAGTTTCACAGATCGCAGCCCCCCAGGGATGGCGAGGTCTAATTAGGGTCCGCGCGTGGTGTCACTGTGCTGGGCCCCCCAGCAGGCGTCGAGAGTGGCGACAGTTTCACAGTTCGCAGCCCCCCAGGGACGGCGAGGTCTAATTTGGGTCCGCGCGTGGTGTCACTGTGCTGGGCCCCCCAGCAGGCCTCGAAAATGGCGACAGTTTCACAGATCGCAGCCCCCCAGGGATGGCGAGGTCAAATTTGGGTCCGCGCGTGGCGTTACTGTGCTGGGCCCCCCAGCAGGCCTCGAAAGTGGCGACAGTTGCAAAGATCGCAGCCCCCCAGGGATGGCGAGGTCTAATTTGAATCCGCCCGTAGCGTCAGTGTGCTGGGCCTCCCAGCAGGCTTCGAAAGTGGCGACAGTTTCACAGTTCGCAGCCCCCCATGGATGGCGAGGTCTAACTTGAATCCGCGCGTGGTGTCACTGTGTTGGGCCCCCCCAGCAGGCGTCGAATGTGCCGACAGTTTCGCAGATCGCAGCCCCCCAGGGATGGTGAGGTATAATTTGGGTCCGCGCGTGGCGTCGCTGTGCTGGCCCCCCCCCCCAGCAGGCGTCGAATGTGCCGACAGTTTCGCAGATCGCAGCCCCCCAGGGATGGTGAGGTATAAGTTGGGTCCGCGCGTGGCGTCACTGTGCTGGGCCTCCCAGCGCGCTTCGAAAGTGGCGACAGTTTCACAGATCGCAGCCCCCCCGGGGTGGCGAGTTCTAATTTGAATCCGCCCGTGGCGTCACTGTGCTGGGCCCCCCAGCAGGCGTCGAAAGTGGCGACAGTTTCACAGTTCGCAGCCCCCCGGGGATGGCGAGGTCTAATTTGGGTCCGCGCGTGGCGTGTTTGTGCTGGGCCTCCCAGCAGGCCTCGAAAGTGGCGGCAGCCTCGCAGATCGCAGCCCCCCAGGGATGGCGAGGTCAAATTTGGGTCCGCGCGTGGCGTCACTGTGCTGGGCCCCCCAGCAAACCTCGAAAGTGGCGGCAGTTTCGCAGGTCGCAGCCCTCTAGGGATGTCGAGGTCTACTTTGAATCCGCCCGTGGCGTCACTGCTGGGCCCCCCAGCAGGTCACGAAAGTGGCGACAGCTTCGCAGATCGCAGCCCCCCAGGGACGGCGATATTTAATTTGGGTCCGCGCGTGGCGTCACTGTGGTGAGCACCCCAGCAGGCCTCGAACGTAGCGACCGTTTCACAGGTCGCAGCCACCCCGCAGGCAAGACAGGACGCAGGAGGAGGGAGGGGGGGCGGGAGGAAGGAGCAAGGAAGGAAGGTGGAGACCACAGTCCCTGATTCAAAACGAATACCCAACCAATGATGGTTGGGGAAAACAAGAAAACAAATTACCCTGTGACGTGCCCAACCCATCTGTATCAATGGAAACGAGGAGTTGGCCGAAAATTGCATGGGCAATCAACTTGATGTGTAAGCTACTTGGGACACGCGCCTATGGCATGATGCGCGGGAGAACCATACAAGGACGAGGGGCGACATCTACAGGCTCGAAGAGGACATGGGGAATCGGGAACGCAAGGCAGGATAACAACGTGCGGGAAGCCGAACCATCAGCACGGCAGCAGCAGAGGGAAAGTGACTGCAGGAGGAGAACAAGGACGAAAGCTGCGTCTAATTTGGGTCTGCGGTGGGTACCCACTGTGCTGTGCCCCTCAGCAGCCCTCGAAAGTGGCGACAGTTTCACAGATCGCAGCCCCCCCCCCCAGGGATGGCGAGGTCTAATTTGAGTTTGCGGTGGGTACCCACTGTGCTGTGCCCCTCAGCAGCCTTCGAAAGTGGCGACAGTTTCACAGATCGCAGCCCCCCAGGGATGGCGAGGTCTAACTTGAGTCTGCGGTGGGTACCCAGTGTGCTGTGCCCCTCAGCAGCCCTCGAAAGTGGCGACCGTTTCACAGATCGCAGCCCCCCAGGGATGGCGAGGTCTAGTTCGAGTCTGCGGTGGGTACCCACTGTGCTGTGCCCCTCAGCAGCCCTCGAAAGTGGCGACAGTTTCACATATCGCAGCCCCCCAGGAATGGCGAGGTCTAGTTTGAGTTTGCGGTGGGTACCCAGTGTGCTGTGCCTCTCAGCAGCCCTCGAAAGTGGCGACAGTTTCACAGATCGCAGCCCCCCAGGGATGGCGAGGTCTAGTTTGAGTCTGCGGTGGGTACCCACTGTGCTGCGCCCCTTCAACAGCCTTCGAAAGTGGCGACAGTTTCACAGATCGCAGTCCTCCAGGGATGGCGAGGTCTAGTTTGAGTCTGCGGTGGGTACCCACTGTGTTGTGCCCCTCAGCAGCCCTCGACAGTGGCGACAGTTTCACAGATCGCAGCCCCCCAGGGCTGGCGAGGTCTAATTTGAGTCTGCGGTGGGTACCCAATGTGTTGTGCCCCTCAGCAGCCTTCGAAAGTGGCGACAGTTTCACAGATCGCAGCCCCCCAGGGATGGCGAGGTCTAGTTTGAGTCTGCGGTGGGTACCCACTGTGCTGTGCCCCTCAGCAACCCTCGAAAGTGGCGACAGTTTCACAGATCGCAGCCCCCCAGGGATGGCGAGGTCTAGTTGAGTCTGCGGTGGTACCCACTGTGCTGTGCCCCCAGCAGCCCTCGAAAGTGGCGACAGTTTCACAGATCGCAGCCCCCCAGGGATGGCGAGGTCTAATTTGAGTCTGCGGTGGGTACCCACTGTGCTGTGCCCTTCAGCAGCCCTCGAAAGTGGCGACAGTTTCACAGATCGCAGCCCACCAGGGATGGAGGTCTAATTTGAGTCTGCGGTGGGTACCCACTGTGCTGTGCCCCTCAGCAGCCTCGAAAGTGGCGACAGTTTCACAGATCGCAGCCCCCCAGGGATGGCGAGGTCTAATTTGAGTCTGCGGTGGGTACCCACTGTGCTGTGCCCCTCAGCAGCCCTCGAAAGTGGCGACAGTTTCGCAGATCGCAGCCCCCCAGGGATGGCGAGGTCTAGTTTGAGTCTGCAGTGGGTACCCATTGTGCTGTGCCCCTCAGCGGCCCTCGAAAGTGGCGACAGTTTCACATATCGCAGCCCCCAGCAGCCCTCGAAAGTGGCACACGGATGACCAGGTAAGAGGCAGGCTGGCACGCAGCGACGAGCGAGGTAAAAGGCAGGGGGGAAGGAGGGAAGGAAGGCAGGGGACGCGCGAGCAGTGCTCTATTCAAAACGAGAACCCAACGCAGGAGGGTTGGGGAAGAAACGAAAAAAACAAAAACAAACAAATAAACAAAACACAGAAAACAACATAAACTAACTTTCGTATATAATTCCGTTGTCGACCGCCAGATTCAATTTGTTTTTTTTTGTGCTTCCCCCAACCATCCTGTGGTGTTGGTCCTCGTTTTGAATAGACGGTCCCCGCGTCCTCCCTCTTTCTCCTCCTCCCCTCCTCCCTCCTCCTCTCACCTGTCATCATCGCCGTCATCAGCACCATCACCCCTCACACGTTTCGTGGCCCCATAGGGAGCTCCACCGAAGGCCCAGTGCTGCCGTCCGCATGCGTCCCG